TTGATCGTAAAATATAATAACAGCTCAGTATGCGCTGTTAAAGTTATATTTATTTTTTATGCTAGTGACAACTCTGAAATTTGACAGCTGTCACCTCTGTTTATTCCGATTATTAAAAATGGAGCGCTTTTCGAAAGAAAAAAGCGTTATAATTCTAAAAACTCATTACCAAAATGGGGAAAGTTACTCTGAAACCGTTTGCAAACTTCGCCGAACTTAGCCGAGAAAGTGCACCTTAAGTGTCAACCATTTTTTTTTTTTTTTTTATAATTCAAAAACTGGCTAGCACCATTCGGAGAGTGGTCAGAAAATTTTAAGACACTGGGTCAATTATGGATAATAAGAATCCTTTGCGTCACCGTACCGGTCGGTCTCTTGAAAACATTGCTGCTGTAAACAAGAGTGTCGCCGAAAACCCGAAAACATCAATTCGACATCGTTCTCAACAACTTCAAATTTCACGAAGCACTCACTACGCAGCGACTTTTGACTAAAGACCTTCATGCGTACAAGATTCAGTTAACTCAGTAGCTCAAACCGGCAGACCACGGAAAGCGGCGGCAATTCGTTCAATGGGTAATGGATGGAACAAAGTGAAGTCGATGCCAAAAAATTCGACAAAATCGAAAAAGTCTATTCGAAAAAAGTCATTTTCTCCGATGAAGCGCATTTTCATATGAATGGCTTCGTGAATACACAAAATTGTCGAATTTGGGACTCAGAAAATCCTCATGCAATCCATGAGAAACAAATGCACCCACAACGAGTAAAGGCCCATTTACACGGTGCCAGTTTCTTGCCTGTTGTATACAATTAAATTGAAGCAATAAATGAGTTGCATGGTCTAAACAACAAATGGTCTTAACAATTATTGCGCGCAATTTATTGCATTCAATTATTGCTCTTGTATGTACAAGAAAATGGCATCGTGTAAATGGGCCTTAACTGTCTGGTGCGGATTTTGGTCAGGCGTCGTGATTGGACGAAATTATGATGTCAACTGGCCACCAAGATTTTTTTCTTTGGTGTTTTATGAAATCTCGGGTTTATGCGAATAAACCCGAAACAATTCCTGAGCTCAAATCGGAAATCCAACGCGTCATCGGTAAGATACAGCCACATCTCTGTGCAAAGGTCATGGAAAATTTCATGAAAAGATTAATGGCCTGTCATCGGAGCTGTGGGGCGTCATTTGCCGGATGTTTTATTCCATACTTAATCAAAACATGTCTTATTTATAATAAAATAGAAATATCACAACTCTGTCATAGAATACTCGTTTTTATTTTAAAATGAAAAAGTGCACTCTTACTGAGACACCCTATATGGGTTTACCGTCTATCGCATATTTAGGTTCCTAAAGTTATTGTTTTAACGATTACTAACCATTATTGCATCACTAGAAAATATCACACGCCGTTATATTTAAAATTACCTGCTCAATGTATAATCTCATGAATGTAAGATGTGGCTAATGGGATCACTTTGATTGATTACCAATCAACATAATCCACTGACAGTGCTTCAGTTGCAGTATTCGTAGTTCTTTTATTGTTGGACAGTGAACAGAAAATGTTTCTGAATAGACTTAAATGGTTTTCGATAGCAATATATCCCTATTGAAAGGAACTGTTTGCCTGCCTTATTATTATTTCAATGCGTTTAACGCGAATATAATGGCTATTCCATTCAGTAGCGCTCTTAATTTCACAAATATTCGTATAATAGGAATAGTACATCCGCATAAATACGATGGTCTTTTTTAAAAGATCACGATTATTTTGATCTCGTACATTATACAAAAGCCTGTTGTTTGCTCAATTATAATATACTAGCGACTCGCGCCGGCTTTCACTCGGGTGCATTGTATTATATATATAAACCTTCGTCTTGAATCATCTAGTAAATCTCTATCTAGTAAAGAAAAAAACCGCATCAAGATCCGTTGCGTAGGTTAAATGATCTAAGCATACATAGGGACAGACAGACAGCGGGACGACTTTGTTTCATACTATGTAGTAATTACTAGTGGATTCGACAGACGTTCTGTATCTATATACACGTTTTAAATCCAACAACTTAACAAGTATAATTTCTAACAAAAAACGACTTCAAAACATTGTTAATACCTATAACATTCAATGATGGCCCTCGATTTCTCGGGAATGCCATCATCAGATCCGGATTTCCTTAGCATGGTACCACCCTTGCGATATCTCCTTTCCGACAAAAAAAGAATCATCAAAATCGTTTCATAGACGACGAAATTATAGGCGAACACATCAAAAAAAATAAATAAAAATATATACGGTCGAATTGAGAAACCTCCTCCTTTTTTGAAGTTGATTAAAAATAAAAAATAAAATAGTAAAAAAATCGGTCATCGAAAACCTTTATCGAGTTCATCGACGTTTGTTTTATATAAAAAATATTGTGAGCGTTATTTTTATAAAGTAAGTCAGTGTTAGATAGTAAACATTTGTTTTAATAAAGTATGACTCCGACCTGGAATTAATAGATTATCCATAATTTATTGTATACTACATACCTTTCTAATTTTAACATCTATCGGATACTTAATCCAGGCGATAAATTTATCTTACACCGCCATCTGTTAGAATCTCATGGGAGTCACAGATAGCTCTTTGCCATTTAATAAACAAATAATTTGCAATAACAAATATTGAGATTAATAATTGAGATAAAAACTACCCTACGACCAAGTTGGACCAAATTACAAATGCTTACAAAATTTGAAAAAAATTGGTTTAGTAGTTTCGGAGTGCATCGCTAACATACATAGTGACACGAAATTTTTATATATTGTTAGAAGATAGGAGGGTAGTAGCACACTGCTACGGCCTATAAACGGAGCAGCGCTCGCCGTGCCAGGAGACTTTCTCATCAGCTGTTGTAGAGTGCGGAAGCTCTACCCGAATTAATAACGATTGTGTCGGGGTTACTTAGAATTGTAGTGAAACTTCTGTTTAGTTTGGCCTACTGGCCAATAAATTCTTTTTAAAAAAGTCAATCATCGTACTGGCCATCGCAGTGTAGGACGATCCCCCACTAGATGGAGTGACGACCTGTGCAAATGTGCGGGAAGTCGATGGATGCAGGTGGCTCAGGATCGTACTTCATGGCAGTCTGTAGGGGAGGCCTATGTTCAGCAGTGGACTCAAACAGGCTGAAATGATGATGATGAATCATCGTTTCAATTTCCTAACAATATATAGATTACTAGCTGCTGCCCAGGACTACGTCTGCGTAGAATATGATGAAGGCTTAATATTCAGACAGAAAGACAGATATAAATAAATATGTATATAAATTATAGCCTATGTCTTATTCTGATGTATGAGCTATATTATTGTAAAGTTTCATTAAAATCTAATCAGTAGTATTTGCGTGAAAGAGTAACAAACATCCATCCATACATACAAACTTTCGCCTTTATAATATTAGTAAGGATGTAAGTGTAGTCTTATATCCAGTTATCCTGCATACTAGTTTTTGATATTTGTTATGTACATACCTATGAGTAGCCTCTAATTTGTATAATGTCTTCTCTTAACATTTTTTTATTTTATTTGTTCAACTACAACTCAAGTCCGCCTTTGTACAAATTTTCATAAGCCTTCGGATACATAAATAACTATTTATTTAGTTACTAAGTAAAGTTAAAAACTTAAACTGGGCATCTATATGCCCGATTTAAGTTTTTAACTTTACTTTTAATGTTTTACTTCTATTATTTGCGAATAAAGTCGAATAGATTTACAGCGCGATGCAAGCTAAAGTGTTTTATACAGCGCTCAAATTGACATAAACGGCCATGCAATGAGCCAAGTACACTATCTGCACCATCTCACGTATGATAAACAAACCACCATTAGACTTTACACTGAAAGTGCATTAGGGCCGTGTAGATTTTTTTGCGCCGCTGATATGCCCAACATAAGGCAATATTTAAGTTGAAGCAACGTTTGTTAGTCGTTTATTGTGAGAATAATTATAATTATAAGCAATGAGTAATATAAATAGGTGTATAAAAATTTACACCTTTCGAAGACAGATAAGAAGAAAGTAGAAGACCTCCTCTATACAGAGGGTATCAGGGCATGGTCCACCACGCGGCCCCACTCACGATGTTTTCCTTCACTGCAGAGTAAGTGATGATAATTCGGCACTTAAAATTAACAATTTCATTGGTGCCGGCACCGGGAATTGAACTCAGGTTGCTCAAGTGTATTGAATTAAAGGCGAGCGCCCGGACACTGAGCTATCACGGCTCTTCGACAGTAGTATAAAAAAGAAAAATGAAACAGAATCTATAACTAAGTTCTTGTTGGAATAGGATATACAAATATAATTATGTAAACACTCCGAGATGAAGATATAACAGATTTCTAATTTTCACGAGCCATACACACCTCTTTCACTGACTTGTTTGGTGCTTTTGGAAAAAATTATGAGAATAAAGTTTTTGACATTTACTTATAATTCTAGGTTATTTAATTAGACCGTTATCAATTGCATTTAATGCATTTTTCATAAAAAAGAGGGTACTGACACAGAGGATATAGTTATTTTTCTTTTGTTACGGTATAGAAGTATGACTTCTTACGTGCGTACACAAATATTTTTTTTTTACATTTATACATTTTGTCATTTATAGCTTCTTTACAGCCAATCTCTTTAGGAATGTGCCCGTAGAGATATCTCTACTATCGAGGTACATAAAAGTCGACTATCTTATAATCCATTGTCGAAATTATGAAACTGTTACAAAGTATATATCATTTATAAATACGTAGATCTATTTTTGCTGAAAATAAAATTTTAGCTAATTAAAAAATGGAATACCTTTAGTTAATAAAAAAAATTCTTAATTCATTCTGCACTAATAAAGGTGCAGTAAAATTTCATTAATATACCATAACGTGTAGTTTGGTCAAAAAATTTGTACAGAAAAAGGACAGGAAACGTTAAATATTTTAATGTATGCGTACTCATTAAGTGACCAAAAGATCTGCCTCACCGGTAGGTGGATTTGCCTCGGTTTCATAAAGATCGTCGGAATTTTAGGAGCGGTATATTCAACTGGAGAGGCGTATTTGCATGGAATTATGGGGCTTTGGCGAAAATGTTACCACTTCGTACGTAGTTATGATTTGGAACGTTTCCCGCAAAACTCGTTACATTCGACAGTAACATGGAGAATTTAACACATTTCTGATACATAACATTTAAATAAATATTCTGAATTTGTTTGAAAGATTAATGTTTAGGTTTAATTTAATAAATGTATCTCTTATTTATTACTAGCGACCCATCCCAGCGCCCCACAGGTGCAATGTATTATACATATAAAACTTCCTCTTTAATCACTGTAGCTAGTAAAAAAAGACCGCAAAAAGATCAGTTGCATAGTTTTAAAGATCTAAACATACATAGGGGCAGACAGACACTTTATCTTATACTATGAGGGCATACTAGTGTGGGCATATTTACAGCTGTTTTTCATTTTTTTTTAAGTTATGTCCAAAAGCGTGAGGCATACACTATACAATTCCGTAGTACATTAGTTTGCTGTATCTCGTAAGTTTTCGCCAGCGTTTGCAATGTGAACGCACATAAATATGTTTGTTACTACATCACATCACAAATCTCTAAATTTCTCAAATTTTTTCTAGTATAATACGCATATAAACTTTAAAACCTTCCCCTTGATCATTCTATCTATTGCCGAAAACTCCATTAAAATCCGTTGAGTAGTTCAACAGATCTAAGAGTACAAACAGCGGAAGTGACTTTGTTTTATACGATGTAAAGATTTATTAGATAAAATTATTTTTAAGAGATGCTTTCGAAAATTAAATTCACGATGATTTGTTCTCTATGACGTAATTAGACGCAGGGGCGCCCGCTGTTGAAGGAATGGACAGGCTCGTCCGGGGAAACCTCACAGAACAGTGATTTGAAGTGGAAATAAAATACTTCTGTACCCGATAATTGAGGTGACAGTTAGACAATATCCACCAATAAGTTCGATCTACTGTTATTCATGTTTTACAGTATTATATCAGCGTAATTATGAAAAGTTTGCCATCATTTGGCTCAAATACTCGTAAGTGCTGTGTTAAGATAATTACTTCCTTGTGATATTTACAAATTCACTGTTGCTTTCACGACAAAAAGCTATTATAAGTTTAAAACATGCCGAAGAAAAATTTCCTCGGAATAGTGTTCAACCATGTCTGTTGTATGGAAGCCCCGCTTTAATATTTTTTTATTTTGTTTTTTAGGATTTGTTGTTATAGCGGCAACAGAAATACATCATCTGTGAAAAATTCAACAGACTAAATATCACGGTTCATGAGACGCAGCCTGGTGACAGACAGACAGACAGACAACGGAGTGTCAGTAATAGGTTTTTACCGTTTTACCCCTTGGGTACGGAACCCTAAAAACGAACCACTAAATCTAAATTGTTTCAAAATATTAACTATTATTCTCGTGTTTCTGGCTCGTTTAAAAAAATTGTATATAAAACAGTGTATAACACATTGGCCATCAATAACACAAAGTCTTTTCAAATATGTCAACTGTAACACGATCTGTCAGAACCATAACCGCATTTCTCAAAATTATTTTAAGGACAAAAATGTTAAAATTTCTTCTAATTTTTGGAAGTATTTGTAATTATATCACTGCTGTAGGTAAGTCTAATATTTTTTTCAATTTATGTTAATACCATAACTCTAGCATGTCCATGCAACTTGTCCTTTTGAACAGCAAATAATCGTACCCAGTTGTTCTTTATTCACATTTAAATAAAAAAATAGTGGCAAGTTGTGGGTAATATTCAAATACAGTGACACTTTTCTGTGCTTCTGAGTCAGATAATGTCGGCTTTTTAAAGAGCAGTCTTCTTATTCAAATGCTACCTTGCTATGCTGAAACGAATCTTCTGGCAACATTGTACATTTAAACGTATCGCTTCAACTATTTGGATCACCGCACATTGGTATCAGCTATTCAAATTCAACTATCTTTATTCAATATAGAAGCATTACACTTACTTATTGATTGTCAAAACTACCACCGCTTCGGAAAAAAAAGCCACTGACCTGAGGAGAATCGGCGAAAGAAACTCAGCGAGACATTTTTTTAACCATTATATAACTAAAATAACACGTTTACAAATGTTCCGAAGTCCACTAGAAAAAGCATTTCCAGGGTGTGTTATCATTTAAATAATCATAAACACGATAATGTCCTTTAACACAAACGTTCCTTTACAATTTTTTTGAATTTAGAAATTGATATATTTATATATTTACCTAATACGTAATTATATAATATACAATCATACTACTTAAATGTAGTTACACATAAATTACTCCCACTTTCAGACTTCAACGATTACGAAGACGCCACACAAATAAACGTATTCACAAGGGAAGACCATGGGTTCACGCCTGTTAACACCCTTTCGAAGGACAATGAAAAACTAGTTGCAACGAAAAACATCAATTGCGATGATTTCCAGAAATACGTATACGCTTGTACGGCGGACGCAGCGTTGATGTACAACTCCAGCAGGAAAGTGCCGCCTATGCCTAACCGAATTCCGGAGTGGTGCAGGTGATTTTATTAACGCCTTTATTAAACCTGTCTTAAATAGTCTATATTAAAAAAAAAACATATTACAATAGCAAAAATGTCATTCACGCATTGCTGTTTTTGCTATCATAAACTTATTACATAAAACGATTAATACTTGTCAGATATCACTGTTAACCTCCTGCTGAAGATATGGGAAATTAAGTTTATAAAATAAATAATAAATAAATAAATAAAGTTTATTTGTTTATATATTTTTCAACCCCATATTTGCACTATTCCGTGGAACTTTTACTTTGGCATCTTTGAAAGTTACAAAAATATTACAAAAGCGTTTTGTGGTAGAAGCAACAGTAAATTTATAAATAACATGTAGCATTTTATATTCACTAAATAAGTATAAATTTCACTATTACCTTCTAAATGTAAAGGAAAGTAATTATCTTTACGCATCACCTACGAGTATTCGAGCCAAATGATGACTAACTTATCACTATAAGGATTCGTCATTAATTTCAGAAGTACCTGAAATAATTTAAGTAAAACTATATAACATATTACACCTAATTTGTTTAGCCGGATCAGAACTGATTACTAATTTACACTCCGCTGAGATCTGCTGTAGGGGAATACGTTAACTAGGTCAAGTAAAATTGGACAATGCTGTTTATTTCTTTTCTATTTTCAGTGCAATGAGACATCTCACCAACTGCGCCACAGATTGGAATTCCGATTGCAGAGATGTGACTGAGAGCCACTTTTACGAGGAGAGTATTAAGGGTCACATGCACGTCGTGAACAACGTCTGTGACGACGACTGGTTCCTTTCACGTAAGACGATTTTCATTGAGAGAAAATGGCGAATGAGCAAGCGATTCTTCCGATGTAAAATGATTTGTGATGGACTGCACAAGCATACGCAACACCAGATAATATGCTAACATATTTTGAAAAGTTGATTTGGTTTGTTACGTAAAAATAAGTTGATTTGGTTTGTTACGAAAAAAATAATGACGCGTTACAATAATACACAAATCTAAAAAATATGTATTCAAATAAATAATTACAATGGTGTAATTATATGTCGCCGGCTGTTACGAAAATTTGAAATAAGTTAGAATCATCAGCAATAATCGGATTTATCCATTTTAATTCCGATCGTCAAGCTAACCGCCCGTCTCAATCGCCATTGTTTTAAGAATATGTGTGCAAATTGTCTAACCGTGTGTTGTTTTTAAAATATACGTCTCATCATCTCCCACGCGTTAGGATACGAGTTACTCCCTGAGTGCATTAAAAGCACAGAAGAGGCTTGGGAAAAGTGCTACACGAAGTTTCAAAGAGGTGGTCGACGATAAAAAGAATACTTCACACGAGTGGACGCATTACGAAACACATTTTTACTTGTGCTGGTGAGGTTAACATTTATTATGATCATCTTATCAGCGAACGTCATAATAACCGCCGTCATTATATATTTTTTATCGCCATTTTCAAAGTAAACGTTGAGATTATCGTTTTTTCAATAGGTTTTTTTTTGTTAGCCATAAATGTTATTGTTCACTAATTGTAATATAGTAAACAAACGTTAAATAAAATATCGATTGTTAAGGTGTCTATAGACAATATAAAAGAGCGAATTAGTTTGTGGAGCCCTGCTGCTACTCTAATTTTTTATAATTTATTTACGTTTACGTTTAATTTATTTGGAATCGAAGTTTATATTCTATTTAGAAGTTAAAAGTAACTAGTTCTTTAATCGACACTAATATTTAATTCATTGCATAATTTATATCACATATCACAATTTCCCCTCACCTCCCGGGTTGACTAGTAGAGAATGCCAATAGGCATGAAGTCCGCCCATCGTAACCCCTTTTTAATATCTTTCAATAAATAAATAGATAATTATTGTTTGGATATGCCAAGTATTATGGCAAAATCACTCTTCATATGTTAAACGTAAAATGTAAAAAGAAAATTGAAAACTTAGAGATCATAATCATGGAGGTCTGGAGAAACGGTTTGTTAGACGCAGTTATTTTTCAGTGCAAGGGCACAGTTCCGCCGCTGCACTCTCGAGTTACTCTTCGAGACGGCGAACAAGTGTACCAATGTTCAAGCAGTCATCTTGCAGAAGTTCTCGGTCATTATCTCCGAAGGTGACGTTTTTCAGGTGAGAAACAGATATAAAGCCGCTCCTCATTACTCAATTTGACTTATTTTTTTAATTGAAAAGTTGGCAAGTGAGCAGGCGGTCCTCCCGATGTTACAAGTGATTACCTTTTTTTTTTATGGACATCTAAAACACCTCATGGGTTGCCTATGCGTTGCAGACTATTAAAGAGAAATATTATAATGCTAAAAAATATCCCTCAGAAATGCTCGATTTAGTTTTTGCATGACTTTTTTTACATCCAGACCAATATAATCCTTACGTGAATAATTGTTTCAATTTAGTGATTTAGTGATTTTATTAACAATGCTGTTACTATGTTTCTACTAATACCAGTATTAGATAAGTACTATGTTCGTAAACTAGAATGCAAATATAACTTCAATTATTTAAATTAGAAAAGCAATTCCGCTCCCACTTAAAACGGAAGACGTTGTAGTAACATCCACTGCCAGCTACAGTTTTCTCATAACTCAGAGCATTTGAAGGAAAGAACAAATAAGCTTTATTGCATTCCAACTCCAAGTAACTGAAACTAATTTTCCGTATGCTTGTTACTCGCTGCGAGGAGCGAAGAATAGTACGTTGTGTGGCGTGATTAATTTTGTTTGATTTCTGCTTTACCTCAATATTCGTACTAAAGTGGTGAAAGTAAATTTTAAGCGATGCATTATACATGATATTTTTAAATACTAAAAGAAAAGTAAACGATAAGAAAGACGTGGACTTATAATCGGAGATTACTTTAAATCGGTTTTAGTTGTATTGGTTTGCATTACTTTGTGAATATTAAAATAAAATGACTATTTATTGTGCTTTCAGGATTGTGACGTTAATGTAATGTACGCTAACTGTCCTGATGGTGACCCAAGACCCAATGACGTCCTGCTCTCAAAATTGGTGATGGTGGATGATGCTGAAAGTGAAGCAAGTAATGCCATAAACTGGAAGCCCATCCCTTTCTACGCTTGTGTACAATTATTCATAAATGGATTACACACATAAATGGGTCTGTTTAATTTCTTGAAGTATTAAACTTCTTTGTAGTAAGACCACACAGCGACTTTGTTGAGCACACATTGTTTGAATGTCCGAGAAAGAACCAGGGGGCCTGGGAAGGCGCTGGGGTGATGGAAGATTGCTTCTTTGTAATGAAGTGTCCCCGGCAGATGTGACAGAGACAGGTGCAACGCTGGTTTTATTCAGCACCCGTCTTGACTAAGAATGACACATCCATGTTTCGCCTCCACACCGTTTAGGAATATGGGAATCGATTATTAACGGAATAATTTTAATAGTGTAATTAAGCCAAAAGTTTGATCTTGATAAGTTATATCAACAACAGCAGCCGTCAATCAGACAGCACACAATCATTCGCAACATCTCTGATGAAAAAAAAATGTTTGAGGCGAGTAACGATGGCTGAGAGTAAACGATCCAGATGCAAATATGCGTTACAAATACATAAAATAAATTAATAAAAATTATGTGTGCATTTATGTACGCACGTAAGAAGTTATACTTCTTTAGCGTGTGGGTGAGTATCAGCGGCGATCAGCAGTTACGTCAGCTATAGACGGGCCGCCACAATCGTAACAAAGTAAAAATAACTAAAAACTCAATCCCCGTGCCGGTACTCTTTGTTTATGAAAATGCATTGAATGCAATTGATCACGGTTTAATTAAATAACATGAAGTTATAGGTTAATGGCAAAAGTCGTTATTAGTTGACGCAGTAATACCGTAAAGTTAGTCACTTTGCAACCAACTTCAGCGCAGCGCTTTTTCATCTTTCTTTAACTAATTAATTTTCTGATATTTTGTTTCAAAGGGAGTATATCTAATAAATAAATAAATAATTGCTTTTAATAATTTTTTGCCTTCATTATGCCAATTTAAAGAAAAACAAGGAAAAAGAACATATAATTGTAAAATAAATTTAAAGTATGCATTATAATTCATTAAACTTATCATTCAATTTAAAGAATCACAGTAGAACTTTGGAGCAATTGGTGGCAAATAGTTATTTCATAAGCTTATGTCGTTTTGTTATTTAACTTTTATTTCACCTACGTGTAATAAAACATTGAAAATCAATTTCTAACAATACGTTCTCTATGGATTCTTAAAGATTGCCACGGTATTAAATGTGACTGGCAAATCCTGAGACGCTGCGTGAATTTTTCCGAACCGAAAATATCTTCGCGCAAAGTGGATCATTAGTATTCTAAGGAAATACAAGGATTGCATTACATGTTGATCGTGACTACAGAACGTCTAATGCTGTTGAAATTTTTTTGGCAACTGTATAGATTTTTTCTTTTCCTTAGCTCAAGGCACCTTTTTCCGTATTGTATTGCTATATTATACATTTATATCAGTTGTTATGTTATGTAAAACGTTTTAGTTAAAAGTCTCACTTTCCTTATAATTGTATAATTTTTTTTGTATCATCATAATATGAACTTTGAATAAACTTCTTTTTATAAAAACACTTGTGAGTGAAATTAAATGTTTTATAGGTTTTTTTCGAATAATTTAACTACGCTTAAGTAAATCAGCAGTTGAAACTTTAATGAAAGGAGATACTAAATAATGATTTATTTTATTTATGTTAAGATAACTGACCAAATCAGTCATATCTCTCTACACATACCAGAGGAGTAAGAAATAACGCGTGAATTATGTTGCCCTCATTTAAGGATAACATTATCCTGTGTTGCAAGGACGTTTTTACATAGATAAATTTCACGTGGACAAACACCCAGATGCGAAAAAACTATCGGTGGGTCACACAAATAGTTGTCCCGTGAAGGAATCGAACCCACGACCCCCGACACCGAAGCCAATACCTTGACGACTGCGCACCGGAGTCACCAATTAACCAAAATTTTACCAAGTGTTTCTTTACATAACATTCTGTGACTGTCCTAATAATTATAATCACAAATACATTATTTATCTCTTATAAATGTACATCTTAGTTAACTGAACACTAGAGTTTTGTAAAAATAAATAAACTAAGCAAACTTATTAACGAAGACACTGAAAATCCCGTCTGCATTTTATCTTAGCGAATAAATGTCAATGAAGAAACAATTATGTTCTTGCGTATCATTTTTTTTAAATTATTTTTTGATGATTTATGCAAAAATGTGTGAACTGTTACTTTTAATTTTTATGCTATTATTACTGCTCATTATACCGATTCCTTCACCGAAGAACTATTTGTTAATCCTTACTTATCCCTACTTCCTTAGTAATATTATAAAGGCGAAAGTTTGTATGTATGGATGGATGTTTGTTTCTTTTTCACGCAAATACTATTGAATGGATTTTAATGAAAATTTACAAAGATATAGCTTATACATCAGAATAGAACATAGGCTATATTTTATACACATAGTTTTAGGTATATCTTTCTTACTGTCTGAATGTTACACCTTCAACCTATTCTAGTATTTCAGCAGCAGCGAGTATGCAATACACTCTTTTACTTAAATCTTTTTTAGTCAAATCTACGAAACAAACAAGATTTTATTTGTAGTCGGCGTACGGGAATGTATCGAATTTGTTTTGAAATGGTATTTTTAAAAGGTCAAAGATTTCTACGACGATGTTTCTTGTAAAATATATAAATAATTCTTTAATGATATTAATGACTTTGGCATGGTTCTTGAAATTCGCAGTTGTGCTCTACTTATTAATGATACGTTAATAAGAATTTTCACAGCTATGCCGAGATTATTACTTTATCTGGTACTTGCTCTACACCGACTTTTTTGTGTCAAGAAATGCATTGTTGAGACAGATTTTAAAAATAAATTTACTATTATTGTTGTACTAAAAATTAACCAAAGATGTTATAAAAATATCATTTTTACGTTAATTGAATCGTAAAGAAATTTGCCTTGTTTTCGCAACATAGCAGAGTATCTTATTTTTCTGCCTAAACTAATAATAATTTAATTTTGTTTACTTACCAAATAATCATTGAGTTTATGACAACATGTTTAAAATATTTTTGCCTATATTTTATTCATATAACAAATATTGTCATATCTCGGGATTCTTTGTGTTAGGGCCAATCAACAGTGTCCGCTGTTGCACGAATGAGTAAGTCCGTGTTAGTACTACGACCTCATAGACTTTACGGTCAAGTAGAAGTGTTATACTTCTTCGTTTACTCTGGTGAGAGAGTAGCCGGGGCCCACTTTATTAAAAGGTTGCAACACATCTGCAACCCTACGGGTATTGCAAATGTCTATGGGCGGCGGTTATCATTTGACATCAGGTGAACCACAAGCATGTTTACCACTTGTCACCTTAAAGAAAAGAGCAAAGAAAAGAACAGTTCACAGACTCCGTGGCGCAGTTGCCATGGTATTGGCTTCGGAGCCGGGGGTCGTGGGTTCGATTCCTGTGTGGGAATTTGTGTGGCCAACAGATAATTATTTCGGATCTGTTTGTTTGTAAAACGTCCTTACATCACGGGATAATGTTATCCTACAGTAAGTGCAATGTTTTAGCTTCAAGAAGGCAGCTTATTCCTGCATCAAAAGTCAGCAATGCATCTCTTGATGTAGCAAGTGTCGATGGTTTGGCGTGAACACTTAACATCAGGGGGGATTCCGCTTCGTGCTTCCACACGGAACGGACGTTACTCTGAGCCGGAGGGCCCATGCCAACCGACCTGGAAGCCATCTTGCAACCGTTGTTGCTAATTCTATTTCTTTTATCTCTTGGTGTGCACTGTTCGCCTCATCGTTGTCGTGTTTCGCGGTCTACGGTTAGGGAAGTCTCAAGAAGAAACATTATAGAAGAAAGAAAAAACATTATAGAAGAAAGAAGAAACTTTGCCCGACTTCCGAGCGGATAGTGTTAGTGTAGTGTTGTGCTCGTAGGCAGGTTCCTGTCCGTAAGTAGAATCCACACACATTTCTCGTCTCAGAGGCGGCATTGTAATTTTTATCTGTGTGCTTGTTGCATTAGGCGACAGCTAGGTGCTCACCCTAGCGCACCTAAAGCGCAGGCGATTAAACGTTAATTTTTAGGCACACACCTCCCTGCCGCAAGGTGGGGAGGCCTATTTAGAAACCACACGCCGGCGGGGCGCAAGCCCCAAAGGCACAAGCGTCGTCATGGGTTCCCTCTTAGAGGAGTTCCTTCGGCAGGAATGCCCCGAAGTATGGGCAAAATATTTAAGCTTCGCGAGGGAACGGCGCCTTGTCGTCGAATTCTCTAGCGACAGTCCGGCTTCACCGGCTGCCGCCTCGCCGCCATCTCCGGTGCCCTCTGCGCCAGCTATTGTGTCGCCCTCAGCGACAATCGAAACGCCCGTCGCGTCGACCTCCGCCGCGGCGATCGATCTTAACGCGCCTTCCGCGCAACCAATTTCGGCCTCCTTCCGCGCTGTCGTTCCCGATTCACAATCGGACGGCGGCTCAGACATGGAGGTCGAGCTGCTTCACCGTCGTCAAATCGGGAAAAAAGGGCAAGAAACGCCCCGCTACAGACAGCGACCCCGAAAGCGAGGCCGCCCCGTCAAACCGTCCCACCGCGACGCCCGCCAAAAAGGCAGCCGCGTCTGCCCAGTCGGCCCGTCCTGTGTAAACTGGGCCAGAACGCCGGCGCGGTCCCTCCGACCAAATCCGTAGTGGACTGGCATCGTCTTGAGGTCAAACTCAAGGCCTTGGACCCCCAGGACTTAGTAGACTTACCCGAGACGATAGCTACGTTCGATGACGCAAATCGAGCGATAGCGAGTCTCCGCGAAACTATTACTTCCGCAGTCGCAGACTCGGAACGGACGGTGAAACTGTCGGGCGACCGACAGTTTAATTTTCCGCCCGACGCGGCTTAACGGCTAAACGACCGATACCGATCGGAATCGAACCGAACTCTACTTCGACGCCTTCAGCTAGAAGTCAAAGATCGTGTATCGGAACACCAACATAAAACGTGGGACACTCTCCTAGAGGACATCGAGCCATCGCACACCG